AAACATAACTTTGCATTAAATCTTATTCAATGTCACAGGAACTTTTGTTCAGTATATATTATTACTTATATGGCCTCGACCAGAAAGAGGGAGAACACCTGTAAATTCTACAGTTAATGGAATCTTAAGATTTTCTTTCAGCTGATGGTATTTAATAACATTTCTAACAGAATCTGAATGTAATGGGTCAATATTTCTAATTTTATGAGATTTTATACTGTATTATCATATAATGGGTAGGTTTCTCAGCAGAATAAAGCCAATGGATAAAAACGATATCCGTTGGGGTCATATGCGGATAGGGATGCAAATATCAAAGGTCAAGTTGGGACTACTTTCACTGTTCATAAACAAACATGGCATCGCCCTTGTCATTCCGCGATCAAGTCAGAATTAACCATCGGGAATCTGGAGAAATATCAATTACTATGTATTTAACAAGCCAAGGTTCGCTAAATACAATGTTTATTCCTAATACAGGATATTTACCATCCCCAAACACACTCGCGTGATAACCTCTATTTATCACTCATATCACCTCAACCATAAATGGGGGCGGTCAGGTAGCCTAGTGGTTAAATCATTCGCTCGTGACGCCGAAGACCCGGGTTGATTCCCAATATGGGTACAATGTGTGAAGCCCATTTCTGGTGTCCCCCAGTGATATTGCTGGAATATTGCTAAAAGCAGCATAAAACCATAGTCACTTACTCGCTCAACCATAAATGGAATAACACCTTAAAAATCTACAGTTAATGGAATCTTAAGATTTCTTGTCGGTTGATGATAGTAAATAATATTTCACGCTTGTGGACAGAATCTTTATGTAATGGGTCAATATTTCTAATTTTAAGAGATTTTTGACTATATTATCACTCATATCACCTTGACCAGAAGTGGGATAATTAATGCCTTTAAAATCTACAATTAATGGAATCTTAAGATTCTGAATTATCCCATTCGGTACATCTGAATGTAATGGGTCAATATTTCTAGTTTTAAGAGATTTTTGACTATATTATGACTCATCTCAGCTTGACCAGAAGTGGGATAATGCCTTTAAAATCTACATTTAATGGAATCTTAAGATTTCTTCTTGGGTTGATGATAGTAAATAACATTTCAAACCTATGAACAAAGGTCTAAATGTAATTTGGTCAATATTTCTAATTTTAAGAGATTTTTGACTATATTATGACTCATATCACCTTGACCAGAAGTGGGATAATGCCTTTAAAATCTACATTTAATGGAATCTTAAGATTTCTTCTTGGCTGCAGATAGTAAATAACATTTCACACTTGTGAGCAGAATCTGAATGCAATGGGTCAATATTTCTAATTATAAGAGATTTTTGACTATATTATGACTCATATCAGCTTGACCAGAAGTGGGATAATGCCTTTAAAATCTACATTTAATGGAATCTTAAGATTTCTTCTTGGTTGATGATAGTAAATAATATTTCGCACTTGTAGACAGAATCTTTATGTAATGGGTCAATATTTCTAATTTTAAGAGATTTTTGACTATATTATGACTCATATCAGCTTGACCAGAAGTGGGATAATGCCTTTAAAATCTACAATTAATGGAATCTTAAGATTTCTTCTTGGTTGATGATAGTAAATAATATTTCACACTTGTGAGCAGAATCTTTATGTAATGGGTCAATAATACTAATTTTAAGAGATTTTTGACTATATTATCACTCATATCACCTTGACCTGAAGTGGGATAATGCCTTTAAAATCTACAATTAATGGAATCTTAAGATTTTTTCTCGGTTGATGATAGTAAATTATATTTCACACTTGTGGACAGAATCTGAATGTAATGGGTCAATATTTCTAGTTTTAAGAGATTTTTGACTATTTTATGACTCATATCACCTTGACCAGAAGTAGGATAATTCCTTTAAAATCTACAATTAATGGAATCTTAAGATTTCTTCTCAGTTGATGATAGTAAATAACATTTTAATCCTTTGAACAAAGGCCTAAATGTAATGGGTCAATATTTCTAATTTTAAGAGATTTTTGACTATATTATGACTCATATCAGCTTGACCAGAAATGGGATAACACCTATAAAATCTACAATTAATGGAATCTTAAGATTTATTCTTGGCTGCAGATAGTAAATAACATTTCACGCTTATGGACAGAATCTTAATGTAATGGGTCAATACTGCTATTTTTAAGAGACCTTTTACTATATTATCACTCATGTCCCTTTGACCAGAAATGGAATAGCCCTGTCACATGTACAATTAATGGAATACTTGTAGCTGATTTTTATTAATAATTGATTAGATATTTACCCTTGTATTACTGTAATCAAACCGTCCAGAAGCGGCATAACTCCTTTAAAATTTATTAACTGTTGAATATTAATAATTAATTTTAGCTTTTGAAAGTGATTAGGACCACAAACTTAGCAAATATTGAGAGAGGTCATGATTGGTACTTTTATAGCAGTATTATACCAGTAAGTGTGTTACACAAGGAGTGTCAGAATTCAGAAATTCTTGTATTTACCGAGTGAGGGTGAAGGTAATACATGGATTCTTACATGAGTTTTGTAAAACAGAATATGTACTGTGTACAGTTCTTTTATCCACGTGATGTCAATCGCCAAGCACAGGTACTATCTTATTCCGTGTATTTTACCTTCAGCTGTCAGGGGTGCGATTGGTTAGCGTATTGGTCAAAGCGTTCGCTCGTCGTGTCGAAGGCCCGGTTTGATTCCCATCATGTGTTCAATGAGTAAACCCTATTTCTGGTGGCCTGTGCCATGATACTCCAGGAATGCTGCTAAAAGCAGTGTAAATACATATTCACCCACTTACTCCCTCCTTCTGCAGACGTGTCTATCCACTAGACCACTCAGGCAGTTGATTTCGTGTAGAAGTGGTCCCCAGCAACACATGCTTAATTTTAATTGTCTTACTAGGTGACTTCATGGATCGGAGGTTCAACGTCCTCCGACGTGCTGGGTGTTTGCTTATAATATCAATCACTATTTTGCTCTCTGCCCATTTGGACCAACATTTTACTGCAAGAACCAGAAACAGCAAAGCTGACCATGCAGGTAATATTCCCTTGATCGGATGGGGAGTCCGGCTTAGAATCGTATAATGAGAGGCGACTAACGAGCCTCGGGTAGTCAGGTTCGTTATTTGGTTGATTGCGAGACATCGTACATGTCGGCGTGGGACGTTGTTCATACTTAAACCAATCGTTTATTTACATGTATTTATATCGGGGTACATGACACACAATTAACAAAGTCACTATACAAGCATGCCCACCCGGTCCATCGACTGTGGTGCCCGTGAAGATCCGGGGTAGAATAGGTCTTTTCAGCAATCCATGCTTGCCCTAAAAGGCGACTATGCTTCTCGTAAAGGCGACTAACGGGATCGGGTGGTCTGGCTCACTGACTTGGTTGATGCATGTCATCGTATCCCAATTGCATGGATCGATGCTCATGATGTCTATCACTGGATTGTCTGGTACAGACTCGATTATTTACAGACCGCCGTCATATAGCTGGAATATTGCTCAGTGCGGCGTTAAACAACCAACCAACCAACCATCGATTGTCGCCTCTCATGACAAGCGAAGCCGTGGGTATATTTTAAGCAATGCCCAACATAGACATACACAATGCACTGTCCATGGATCATCGTGATTTTAGGCTAAATATATAAATATATTATTTCGACTTGCTTCAATATATCTTTCCTTTATTTCAAATTGAAACTGTCTGGTTCCTAAAACACTATGGAGTAACTATATACTCCTTTCTGTTAGGTCTGGTTTACTGGTGCATGCATGAGCCATCATATCCGTCTTACCGCTTATATCTGTTAGTTATACATTTATATTTATACATTTATTATAAATTTGCACACCAAACTTCTGAGCTTGCATTACCTGCATCATGTATATACGATAGGGTTAAGTAAAGTTATAATATAATACATCCGATACAAACCCTCTATCGTTATCTATCGTTCTGAGTGATGTATAGTTTATACCCGATATACATACTCCCCCGCGTCTTTCATTTATAATGATGCATATAACATGTCTGATATACAACACCCCGCGTTTCATTTTGAGTAATGTATATTTTATGCCCGATGTACCTGTGTACTTCCCCGTAACTTTGTAAAAAGAATTATTAAACACTTTCATCTTGTGTAATTTTCGACTCAATCTTCTGGCAAACCATATACAATTAACCCATCGAACTAATTAAAAGAAGTGGACAGAGCTTGTCTAAATGCAGAGGCAAGTGAAATAATTGTTTTGAAATGATATAAATATGATTTCTCACATCTACTCATGTGTGAATTACAAGGACTCCCTTCAGTACAGTTACATTAAATAAATTAATGAGGATACATGTTTTGCATTTCTATTCCCATCGTGGGATTGGAGGAGACCGCAAGTTAAATTGGGCCACAAACAACAGAATACGGAAAACTGTTTACAGTTACAAACAAAACAAAAACTAAATGGAATGCATATTGTGTCGAGGCTCTTTTATTTAACGGCCACAATCCGAAATATTTCAGAAACCTCCCGAGTTACCGCTTTTACTTTTGTAATATGGCCGATTCCATTACATTCTATACACTATTGTGACCACAATGTGATGTAGAAACACATCCTTGATTTCAATTATTGATCTAATTATAACATAATTTGTTAAAAGAAATATCGTACAGACACAGTGACATTTGTGCATAAATGTGAATTGCCGCACAGAAAGGCGTGTGAATATTTGTCAAGTACAAACTAACAAAATAATAATAATAACTGAAGATGTTTCCAATTTATAGTGAAGAATTTAATGTGGGTTATTTATTTGGAATGGAACATGGAAATATACAAAAGACCATATTCAGGACGGTCCCCTCCCCAAAAAACAATATAAACTAAATCATATTCCGCATATATATCGCCATGCGTTTTAGAGCTAACCGAAAGAATTACCGCAGTAAATGGTGTTTTGCGAAATTGTGGACTGTTTATCCCAGTTCTGGTCGCTACAGACGCGCATGTGGAGCCGGGAATCAACTTACGCTCCTCGCCACACTTCAGCAAGCTCCATGACAGCGCGTGCTACGTTTGCGTCTCCATGGAAGCAGTTATGATGGCGGCTGTTCCGTGTTGCGCCAGTTGTGGTCAGATTTTTTCCGTAATGAAGCGATGCGTTCGGTGTCAAGCAGTTTTCTACTGGTACGTATGAATCACAAACATTTACACGCATAGAACACGAAAAGAAGGAGTATGGACTGGAATCAGTTTAAAATTAAAGAACTCTGAAATAGGAGCCAAGCTATCATCGCCAGCTCTGTACTACAGACTGTAGCCCACCTGTGCCGCTGTTCCCAGTGCGAATGCCGAAATCACTCTCTCTTTCGAGTTCCATGCGTCAAGCATAGTACCCCTGCCAGCGCCATGTGACGATTGGTCTCATCTTACATAGTCAAACATATTGCATATGTTTTTCATCTGTTTCATTTTCATTGTTACAAGTCTACACATTTAGATAAATGCCAAATATATATCATAGGATGGTTACTTTGATTGAGAAAATACCATAAAACGTGAAAAAATATTTCCATTTGCGTCGTTATCCTTTGTTTACATTGGTTGTACGGCTCCACATGCTGTCATCGAAGCCCTACGGAGAGCCAGCAATATGGTCACTTGATCTATAAAGACGTAGTCTGACGTATAATTGCGGGCTGTTTGATGTCATTGCGGTATAGGTAAATCTGGTGATACACACCCCATGTGGACTGTTTGCTTAGGCAAATCTAAGCATGATATTTCATCGCTTGATCGAATATGTAACTAGTTGTGGTATCTCATGGCTTCTGGTAAGTATATATGTTAACAATTTTATGATAGTTTCTGGAATGTTTTTGAAGTGGTATTACCCATTCAAAATTGGTAAGAAAAAAAACCATTCATTGGATGATGTCCCTTGACCCAACCTGGGTCGTATCGATACTGATTATGCATAATACAAAACAGAATGTGATGTAAACCACATATTCCACACATATCATGCCACAAAATAGTCATATCATGGTAATATAGAGTTGCCTGCCCTTGAGTCACCAGTGAAAAGTACTTTGTTTACCGAACTCGGTAAAGTCAGCATCAATCAATCCTAACTGGTGCGACTCTCTGCGGCATCCACAGCTATAGTTAAGATATTGTTCATTGTTAATTGTTCTTGTAAATAAAATTTTGATTAGTCTCCTGTGATTCCGGCTCTTTGCTGACTAATTCCCCCAAGAAAACCAGCACGCCATTTGGAAAGTTTGTTCATCCGAACAGAACCATAATAATTTGGCGGAGAATCATCGATTTTGAAACCACGGAGCCCAGGAACTAACTACAACCAGCTACAAGAACCCAGTAGAGGACATGTTCAACCGTGATCATCTAATGGAATAACGAGCAAGCTGCATCAACCTCTGACCTCAACACTGTATTGAAGACAACCAACTCCTCCAAAGACACCAACCAAGGAAGAAAAAGTCTTCAAATATTGTAAGTACTTCATTTCATGGTTGATTACTTGTCTTTCTTTATTTTTAGTACGGTACATACTAATAGGTGTCATGGCAAATATGGAGTCTGGAATGAAAAGTAACTTTGAAAGTGAAATTCCAACAGTGTCTTTAGTTACACCCCTTGCCAAAAGTGTAATTCAGGCAAAATTTAGTACAAAAACAACACATTGTTTAGTAGATACAGGGGCATCCATTTGTTGCCTTTCGTCTACTTTTCTGAGCAAACGTTACTCTTGGAAACTCACCTTTTCCACAGGTTTATAGGTGCTGGCGGCGAATTGCATAAAGTGTTAGGTTCAGTTATGTTAGATTTTGTCATTGAGGATCAGGAATTTTCACAAAGATTCTATGTTCTTCCTACACACCCAAAAGCAGTGATACTAGGTGAAAACTTCCTTGATGACAATGATGCAGTCTTAGATTATAGCTGTCATTCCTTGAAACTTGACAACAGCACCTCAGATAGGCAATATATCAATTTCATAGCCAATTCGGTGCAAGAGATTTGTTGATTAGCAAAACCAATAGATCAGATTTACATCCCCCCTCAGAGTGAAATTCATTTCAAGGTAAGGCTGCCAGAGGCCAAAGAGGAATCCCTCATTTTCATTCAACCCATTGCTTCCCTCACTGCTCATTCTGAAGTAGCAGGTTGTAGAACTCTTTCTAAAGCAAAAAAAGCAAAACTGCTACATTTAGGCTTATGAATCCTTCCCAAGAAGAAAAGCTTCTAGAGAAGGGTACAGTTGTAGAATTAGTTACATTGACAAAGACTGTTTTTGAAATTGACTCTGACCAACCATTCATAAGTACCGTTAACACTGATAATGAGAAGAGAGACAATGACACCAGGGACCTGTTAACTCTTTCAACACCAGTCAACCAGAAGTGTTTACTGCTGGGACACCGAGTTCCCAGAGACTCTTGTGTGATAGATGAAGCCAACATTTATCAAAGAAAATATCTGCTTTAAAATATATTTGCTACTACATGTTATACACCATTTGAAAGGTCTGATCCTATGGTTTATAAATATTAAAGTTACGTTTTTCACATTATTTAAAATAATGCATTTACAACTTAATTAAGTTCTTTGTAAATAAAAAATGTAAGCTAACACGTTGTTAACATCCAGATTAAGGACCAAGGAAGCGAAAACTTGACGTTTTTCGGCAAATATAAGATTTCATAAAATCCACTTACCTAATTCTGTTTTATTTTCATTGTTTACGTAATTGGTAAATCATTTTAAAAAGAATTATAAATAGTTTCTGTCATCACCCATTTCCCGATAACAGCGGCTGTCCGCTCAGTAACATGAAGAAATACCGCCGTTTTCGAGGCTTTGTATGAATAACACGTTCATTGAAGAATGGCATATGACACATCGCTAGAAAGCTTTTTCCTTCATCTACACGCTCGTAACATCGCCTGGTTTTTTTCCGTAGTTATAACAAGCAATTTCATTGGATTAAAATTGGTTTCTAGTGACGCTTTCTTGCCGAAATCTGCTACAAGTTTCGTGATTGGTCAAATCTGAGCACATGACCTAATGCAGCCAATCAAATTACAGCTGTGATACCAAGCTCGTGTTTGATAAATTTCAGAAGTTGGCGAAAGATTTTTGTTAAATCGTGTTATTTTGAACGTTTTAAGCAGGAAATCACGATATATATTAAAAATATAAAACTTCGTGAATGTATCGTGCTAGGTTACGAGCTGTGACAAAGACTTTTCATGTATATATTTTTGCATTAAACATCGTGTCTGAGCCGAAAATTTTTAAGGCGACGAAAGCCGAGATGTCATTTGACTTACATTACACGCGATCGCACGAAAGATGGAAATAATAACTTAGATGTAAGTTTGATTACTTTTAGATATATTTTTGTTGATTTTAAAGAATTGTTTAGAACATCTTTATTTTGCTCTTTGACATGTTCGATGTGGACCCGTTGTCGAAATTTGTGTCCGAGAATTTTATTTTCAATAACATCTCGGGAAATAGTAAATAATTTTTTAATTTATCGATAAAAAATGATAAATTGAAATGGAATACGTATTTTAGACATTGTGAAGTGTGATAGATTTAATAAATGAATGATATCACAGGTAGGTCCATAAAAATATATATTATTTTGACGTGACTACGGCTTGGCCAGTTAACCGGCCAACGGTGTCTGGGGACTCGATGCCTCTTGGCCGGATAACCGGCCTACGGTGTTGAAAGAGTTAAAATTGCACTGGATTTGATTTAGGATTTGATTTGACCAATACACAACTGACTCCAGACTAACGACACAGACTACTTAGACAAAATAGAGACATGTTCTCAACGAGTCTTGCTGATTTACGAAAGACTGACATGCACCAATACATTATTGACACTGGCAACACCCACCCGTCAAGTGTAGACCATTTCGCCAATCTCCACATCTCCAAAAAGTCACTGAAGAACTTATAGATGATTTTCTGAAGTATGATTTGATCGAGGAGTCCAGTTCTATGTATTCAGCTCCCATTATCCTAGTCAAGAAACGTGATGGCTCATATAGATTTGTTTGTGACTACAGAAAGTTGAATTCTCTCACTTTACCAATGTCATGGCCTCTTCCTGTTTTTGATGATGTTGTTGATCACATCGCCAGTGCACAAACTAAGATCTTCTCAACTTTAGACCTTGCTAATGGCTTCTTCCAAGTGCCACTAGATGAAGATTCAAAGCACAAAACTGCTTTTGTCACCCATCAAGGCCATTATCAGTTCAAACGATTGCCCCAAGTTTTGACAAATTATCCGCTTTGTTTTCAGCAGCTCATGAGCAAAGTACTAAGAAAGATGCTTTTTAAGGTTGCACTGATTTACATTGATGATTTGATAATCTACAGCAAAAACTTTGAAGAGCATCTCCAGCATTTGGAGCAAGTATTTTATTATCTCAAACAGGCAAAATTAACACTAAAGCCATCCAAATACAACTTTGCAACAGACAAAGTTTCTTTTCAGGGTCATGTTTTATCATATGGAGGTGTTCAAGTTGATGACAAAAAGATTCAAGCAGTTAGAAGCTTTCCAGTGCCCAAATCACAAAAACAGATTCGCTCCTTCTTAGGCCTCACAAACAATGCTTAATAAAGAAGCATTCAGAGGCAGAAGTAGGAAAGACACCAAAGTTCCAATGGATACTTGAGTGTATTCAGGCATTCAACACACTCTAATATGCTATGAGTAATACATCTGTTCTGGCTTATCCAAATTTTGACAAAGAATTTCTTCTCGCAACTGATGCCAGTGATATGAGCATAGATTTTGTTTTGAGTCAAAAAGATGAGAAAAAAATGAACATCCAATAGCTTTTGGCGGTAGAGCTCTTCATGGCAGTGAAAAGAACTGGAGCATTACAGAAAAGGAAGGCTTAGCTCCAGTTGAAATCTATCAAGGATGCCACATATAGGTTAGAGCGATGGTCTTTGGAACTTTCTACCTACACTTTTGACATAATTCACCGCAGCGGCAAAGCCAATGGGAATGCCGATGCTCTCTCATATAGGGAATATGAGGAAAATATTAACTGTAATGATCAGACAGAACAAGATGCTGAGAAAACAGTATTCTCAGTAACCTCATCTCAGCAAGGCAAATTAACTA